GCCAGCAGCAGGCTGGAAGCAAGGCTGAGGTGTGGTTTTGCTCACACATTCATCACCGTGGGGGGGGTGGCATGGGGGGGGAGTATTGTGTGTGTGTGTGTGTGTGCTGTGTGTATATGTGTGTGTATGGTATGTGCGTGTGTGTATGTGCACGTGTGTTTTGTATATACGTGTGTGCCTCTGCGTGTGGGGTTGTGTTTGTATCTGCGTGTGGTGTGTGTATATGTGTGTGTGTTGTGTGTAGACGTCTGCGTATGAGTGTGTGTATGCATGTGTTTGGTGTGTGTGTCTTGTGTGTTTCTGTGTGTCTGTGTGTGCGTGTGCTGTGCATATGTGTGTGATGTATATCTGTGTATGTGTACGTGTGTGTGGTGCGTGTGCATGGTGTGTACGGGTAGTATGTGTACGTGTGTTTTGTTTGTGTCTGTGCATGTGGTGGTGTGTCTATCTGCGCGTGGTGTGTGTATACGTCTGTGTGTGTGTGTATGCGTGTGTTTGATGTGTGTGTGATGTGTGTGTGTGGTATTTCATGTCTCTGTGTATATGTGTGCATGTATACGTGTGTGTGTGTATCTGTGTGGTCTGTGTGTGTATATGTGGTATATGTATTTGTGTCTTCATATGTGTGGTATGTTTGTGTGTGGTGTGTCTGTGAGTGTGGTGTGTGTGTGTCTGTGGTGTTTCTGTGTGTGTCTGTGTGTGGTGTGTTTCTGTGTGTGTCTTTGTGTGTGGGGTGTGTGATGTGTGTCTGTGTGTGTGGTTTCTGTGTGTGGGGATGGAGTGTGTGTGGTGTCTGTGTGTGTACAGAGGTGGCTGTGTAGACCTAGGGAGGAGGGTACAAGAGGATCTTTAGGAGCAGATGGAATTTATGCAGAAAAACCAGGCTTCCTCCTTGAAATAAAATATTGGCATTAACAAATAAAAGGGGAAAAAGGGTGAAAGAACAGTTTTCCAGCTGAGGAATCAAGGAACATGATTGTGTAAAATATTTCTTGAAACATTTGACAGTCAACGCAGAGAACATGTTTGAGCTAATCGGGTCTGTAAACGGGCCTGGTTTCACCAACTCAAATAACTCCCCGGAAGTGGCAGAGAGGCGACGCCAGCGTGAATGGGGAGGAATAGGGAGTGCCGTGCAGGGCGGGAGGAGGAATACTGAGCTGGGCTCCCTGGGAAGCTCGGAAACGCCTAAGGGGAGTGTGTGGGCGGTAGGAAGGGGCTCCTCACCCAGAGGATCTCAGCCCTGCAGGTCCCCCGCGTGCGGACTGGGGAGGGCGCAGAGGGTGGGGAAGGAAGGGAGCAGAGGTGGAGGGCGCACGGGGTGGAAGGAGACGGAGGGCGACCTAAGCAGCAAGGGGCAACTGCTCCAGAGGGAACCACGGCACCTCGTGGGCGGAAATTCCACTCTCGGATAATACGGTTGTGGCAACAGGAACGCACTCAGGCAACGTGACGAGGGCAAGGACACTCAAACAAAAGTGAAAGCCGCCCAGCTAAGACGAGAGGCGGGACCACAGCTCGCCCGGCCTTCTGTGGTTTGTAAGTGGTTCTGCTGGGCACCTGGGCTCTGAACCCTCCCTCCTGCCCACCCACAGATCAGATTCTGTCCGTGTCTCCAGAGCGGCGCCCCTGCCTTCTTCTTCCCTACCGCCACGTTAGTCTCTACACCCCCTTCCTGCACACAATACCTCCTCCGGGCTTTCTGCCCAAAATCTTTCCGGAAGAGTGTGCTGCCCGACTGCAGCCTTCATCCCTCTCGTTATCTTCCAGCGTCTGAGTCCTCGAGAGAGAAAGAGCTAGTGAGATATATAGATACACACACACACACACACACACACACCATACAGAACTAGGATACATACACACACACGTAACATACAAAGCCAGTGATACACACACACGTATGTAATACAGGTTGCCATCGAGTCAACTCTGACTCACGGCGACCCCATGTGGGTCAGAGTAGATCTGGGCTCCATAGGGTTTTCAATATCTGATTTTTCAGAAGTGGATTGCCAGGCCTCTGGGTGGACTCGAACTGCCAACCTCTGGGTTAGCAGCAGAGCTCTTAACTATTTGCACCACCCAGGACTCTGTTCTCACTGTAAACCACCACAATATTTAGGGCAGTTTTATTCACAATCAAACTGGCGGTAGAACGCCATCTAGTGGAGATCCTTTGGTAGTGAAAGTAAAATTAAAGGGGAGACAGCATGTTCCTGGAGTCTGCCTTTACCATTTCATCGGCGGCTCTGGGGGTTCCGTGGTGGAATTCTCATCTTCCACATAGGAGACCCCGATTTGATTCCCGCCCAATGCACTTCATGCGCAGCCACCAGCCGTCTGTCAACGGGGACTTGTGGGATGCCATGATGCTGAACCAGTTTCAGTGGAGCTTTCAGACTAAGACAGACTAGGAAGAAAGGCCTGGCCATCTACTTCTGAAAATCAGTATTGAAAACCCTCTGGATTACAAGGGTCCAATCTGCAACCGGTCAAGGGGATGGACAGGACCGGGCAGCATTTTGTCCTGTCGTGTGTGGGGTCGCTACGAGTCTGGGGCTGGCTCGATGGCAGCTGACAACAAAGACAGGGGGCAGAGGCAGCTTCTGCCCTTGGCAGGAGGTTGGACTTGAAAACCGGTGGGGCTTCCTCGTCTTGAGGATCTTATGTTTCTAACACGTTTCCACCAGCGTCTCCTTGTTTGGTCCCTCATTGATGCTATTTTTAATACACCACGAGATTATTTTGCACAAAGCCCAGATCTTGAGGTTGATCGCCCTCGGATCCTCGGCTGAAGATGCCTAAACAGCTGCATTTGTTCTGTACAGAGGCGACGGGCACCTGAACCCACCAAGACCTGGAGAGAAACTGCCCGGCCTCCCTTAGGGCTGGGAGGCAGCGGGACTCTGTGGTGACCAGCGGAGGGAAGACAGTGTGTGATGGAACCGCTGTCCATCTTTCCCCTTACGTCTGTTTCTAGATTGTCTTCCTCGTCAGCCTCGTGAGACAAAGTAAAAATGAGGGATGTGTGAGACTGATACTTCAAAAGACTCAGCCGTATGTCGTAACACCAGAGCGAATGTTTTCATGTTTACAGTCTAACCCCCAAGGGAAGCCCACCGCAGTCCTCGAGTGGCAATGAGACAGAAGGCTGAAGCAGAGACAGGAAACACTGTTGGTGGTAAAACCCTACCCAGGCACGTGGCACGTGTTTGTGGAACATGAGAAGTGTCTTCTGTCCCCAGATATTGCTTCTTTTCAGTTCTTAGGGACAATGACCCTACAACTAGTATGTGAATGTAAATAATTGTTTGTAATACGAGTTTTTGAAAAAAAAAGTATTCCCCAATAACCATAGCATTTGGAGGTCCACAGTGACAAGCCCCCCTAGCTCCCACCAAATGTGCAATGAAGTGGATTGGCTCAACAGCCCTCAAATCTTGGCTATTGCCAGATCATAACACAGGACATCGTAAAGCCATCAGGTGTGGGGTGTCACACATACCCGCAAATACTGAAGCCAAATCCTATCCCACAGACTCTGGGAGGGAAGGAGAGAAAAAGAGCTCTAACATTTGTCACTTGCTTCCTGGGTGTCGGATACTTCAAGATACAATTTCCACACATCAAGTCATTTAATCAGACAATATCTTGATCCCAGGGAAATATCGGCTAAAAAGTAACAAAACAAACCAAAAATACTGCAGTTTCTTGCACAATCAATTGCAGACCTGTCACTGAAGTAGACAATGTCACAGCCGTTTACCCTCAAGTCATACACCCCACGCCCCCACCTTTCCTCTTTATACAAACTGATGGCTCACCCTCCTTCGGGTTCTACCATCAGCCCTTACCCACAAAGCAGCCTCTCAAGCACGGTCCCCACGGGTGGAATTGATGTCTCCTCCCTCAGCGCCTAACTCAGCTACCTCCCAGGGAAGGAGGAAGCTGGCCATGTGCGTCATGGAGGCAAAGCCCCTCTGTCCATGGCGCAGGAGCAACAGCACTGGGCATAGCCTCGCTCGTGACTGTCCTCTCCAGAGCACCAGACGCTGGCCCAGAAGTCAGAGGACACCCCTACTCTTTGCTGAACTCCCTCCTCTTCCCCCCCTCAGCCCCTCCCCCTCAGCCCCAAGCACAAACGCGATGGCCGATGGCCCGGTAAACAGGGAAAATGACAGCACAGGGGGCTGGGTGGGAGGTGGGAGTGGTCATTCGGTGTGCGACCTCAGGTGCCTCTGCTGGGGCAGGGGTGGGGGGTAGTAAGAAAAGGCCCGACTCCTCCATGTGGTCCAGGAGGGCTGTGATACGGAGACCAGGGAAGAACTACCAGCTTGTCTTCTCAGTCCCCTCTACCGTTACCCCCGAAAAAGAGCTTAGGGAAGATCCACTACACTTCCCAATGCTAAACACTGCACCAGAACATCCCCAGACTTCAACTGTGACCCTGTCCCAGGGCGGGGGGCCAACTCCAGGAGAGGCCCAGACGCAGCCGTGTGCGAGGCTCAGCCCTGGGTCGGAGGAGAACACAGTTTAATGGCGGCTTGATGGCGAGGCCCCCCAGGGCCGGTGCTCGCCTCCCAGGGACGGTGGGCCCAGGACCGCAGGGCATGCTCTGTGGGGACCTCGCTGGATGCGCAGGACGATGTCCACCAGCTGGCCAGCTGAGTGGACAGAAGGGAAGGACACAGGCTGTCTGGAGTGGAGGGGGGACACACAGTCATGAGATGAACCCCCAGGGTGAACAGTTCACTGCTTGGGGCAGACACTCGGCTATCCATCTGCCAGGAAAGAAAACAACATAATGGGGTACAACATTCAGAAGCAAGGCAGACTGCCCTCTTTCTTCGGGATCACCCTGTAGAGGTGTGGAGAAAGCAATCGGCCAGCAACACAAGCCCAGGCCGGGGGTATCTGACATCTACCCCTCGAGAGAGTCCAGGGTCTCGTCCAACCTTATGATCACATCTGTCCCTGTGGGCACGGGTTCTCTCCCACTAGGGGACAAGGTTGCTCCTGTCTTCACCTCTGGCCTTGTCCAGAGTGGCTGGCTGGTTCTGGGGGGTAGCCAGCAGCCCCTCAGGAGCCTTGCTGAGTGGGGGCCCCATTCCCAACGGCCTGGCCCCTGCGTTCGGCATGGTGGGGCCTGCGGAAGGCTGCCAGCTCTTGGCCTGGGCGTAGGGAGCTGGGAAGAGGTCATCAGGGAAGTAGCCCTCTGCCCCTGCAGGGTGGCCCAGAGCCTGTGAGCAGAAGGGGCCGGGGAAGGGCAGCTCCGGCAGGCAGGGGTCACTCCAGGGCACGGGACCTGTGGGTGGGGGTGGGGAGGGGTGAGTCAGGGCTGAGAGAATAAAGCACCACTGACATGTTTTCCTACCGAGCCTCCCACCTCCAGACACCAGCCAGGATCCCTAGGATCTCCCCTTCAAGAGAAACAGCACCAGGAGCTGTCCGGGACGACCTGAGGCTGGAGCATAGGCCTGGAGCATACCATGCATCAGGCCAGGGACCAGCTCTCAGGGGGTCAAAGGGACAGGACCCAGAACAAACTTCCCTCTCCTGCTAGCTCTAGTCTCAGTAGCACAGATGCTTCTCAGGGCCCAGAGTCCAAGGCCCCAGTGAGGATAATGTTTGCTGCCTCTGCTCTGCTCCACACACTCCACACTGCACGAGCTGTTCCTGACCCTCACCAGCGCTCTGTGCTGCAGTAACGCTGTTCCCGTCTGTGCACGAGCTGTTCCTGACCCTCACCAGTGCTCTGTGCTGCAGGAACGCTGTTCCCGTCTGTGCACTAGCTGTTCCTGACCCTCACCAGCGCTCTGTGCTGCGGGAACGCTGTTCCTGTCTGTGCACGAGCTGTTCCTGACCCTCACCAGTGCTCTGTGCTGCGGGAACGCTGTTCCCGTCTGTGCACGAGCTGTTCCTGACCCTCACCAGCACTCTGTGCTGCAGGAACGCTGTTCCCGTCTGTGCACGAGCTGTTCCTAACCCTCACCAGCCCTCTGTTGCTGCAGGAACGCTGTTTTCATTCCTGAATCCAGGAAATCGAGGCTGGGAGAGCTGGGAATGGCCGAGCTGGGCTGCAAACTCCATTTTCCTAACTCCAAAGTGCCTCTGCTATTTCTCACCCAGCGATGCAGGTCCAAGAAGCTCCAGGAGAAGAGCTCATTAGGAGCTGTGACTCACTATCCACTCCCTGCCCCCAGGCCCCCCCTTCTCCAGCCACTCACCCATGCTCCCAGCTGGTGGCTGCAGCAGGACCTGCCCTGACGGGGGGCCTGAGAAGTAGCCCTGGGAGGAGCCCCCATGGGGGCCATAGGGCCCAGGGAAGAGGGTGTCCTCCAGTAGGGGTGGTGTCAGCGAGCTGGGCGTGGGGAAGGGGTGCAGATAGGAGAACAGTGGCTTCGGGGGCTGGGCGAGCGGTGGCTGGGGCACAGGCGGGAATGGGAAGGACCCCTTCTGGTGGTCTGGCTGGTGGTCCTGAGGCTCCAGCTCCTCCAGGTACGGGCAGGTGGGTGGTGAGGTGATGCTGTGAGGCAGAGCGGATGGAGTGAGGTCAGGTTTGCTTCCTTTCTCTGGCCCCAAGTGAGTCCTTCCTCTCACTGCCTCCCAACTCCATGGCGATCTCATGGCTGTGCCTCCCCTTCCTCTCTGCCTGCCCTTAGCTTCCACGGCTATGGCCAGGACACCCCAGACCCTCCTAACCTATGCTCCCTTCAGTTAACCCTTTCCCTCCCAGGGCCTCTCCTCCTGTCCCCTTCCCGCCCCCATGATAACTCAAGGGACCACCCCATCCAGCTCCATACCTTGTGCCCCAAGACGCACAGGGCCCCTCCCTGAGGCTGCCGTCACCGCCGTCCAGCAGCAGGGGCATCAGCTGGGGGGTGTGGACGGGGCCGAGGGAAAAAGGAAGACTGGTCCTTCGAACCGGTGGGGGGCTGAAGAGTGGGGGGGTCATGGTCACCCCGTGAGCACCCTCACTCTGCCGGGTGGGGTCTGGGGGCCGGTCAGGCGCCAGCCGCACGGGGGGCTCTAGGAACAGAAGGCCAAGAGTGAGGAGGGGAAGGCAGGGGAGGCCGACTTGGGATTGGAGCGCCGGCAGCATGGCATCCAGGTGCGTGGATATGGCTTGGGACTTCTCTCCTGGCTGCCTCCCCTGGGGGAGCCCTCTGAAGGTGGTCAGCTCACCTGGAGGAGCATCAGGAGGTGGGCCCTGGGAGGAGGCACCAGGCCCTGAGCCCAGGGACACCGCAGGTGGGGGCTCAGCAGCTGCAGAGCTGGAGGCAGACAGGCAAGGGACATGAGTCCAGTGGGTCTGGCTTTTGACTGGCCAGAGCCTCATGCAGGGAAGGGACCCTGGGCTCCCAACTCCACCCCACAGGCCCTGGCCGCTTCCCAACCCCAGCCAAGCCCAAGCCCCCAGACTCTCACCAACACCACCACCATCTAGATCCAGGGTGGACCCCACGCCTGATCCACAGGGTGACCAAGAAGAGCGGTAGTCTCACCTGCCATGCCCCTCTGCGGGGGCCGGGGCCACAGGGCTCTCCTTGCCCCCCTTGCCATTTGCCTTCTCTGCCCGCCGCCACTTGGCTCGGCGATTCTGGAACCACACCTGTTGGGGGGAGCCCCTGAAAAGACTGAGAAAGGCCGAGCCCAGGCTGGGAGCCGGTGGTCGCACAGTGAGCCCCATGGCCCAGGCGGCCACTGCAGGGCCTGGAAAGTGCCCCTCAGCCAGAGCAGCTTCACAAGGAGGCTATGGGGCGCCTTGGAGGGCCTTCACCTTTCACAGCCGTGGCAGGGGAAACATGAACGGGGCCCAGGAAGAGGCTGAGCACCCCGGGGCTCCCAGATTCCTCCCAGCTGCTCCCCCGCCAATTACCATGATGCGTTGGGGGGCGACCCCCACCGTCTGGGCAATGTCCTGGCGCTTGTCACTGTCAGGGTAGTGGTCTTCTTGGAACGCCCTCTCCAGCTCCTCCAGCTGGTCTGCAAGGAGAGGAACCTGGGACGCGAGGGAGGGGATGTGGAGGGCCCACGGATGGGGCCTCCATCCCCGCCAGGGCCCCAGGCAGCAGCTGAGGCCTCTTGGGCTGGGCCGTCCTCTCTGGGGTTTGTGGCAGGGGCCATCTACCTGTGTCCCTGAAGAGGCAGCCAGCCAGACCGTCACCTCTGAGGTCAGAGCTCTCGTCCTGCCTCCGGCTCAGAGGGGCCCAGCTAGGGGACACACAAACTGGCTGGGCCCACCCATCTCCAGGCCCAGTCTGTGCATGACCCCCTTCCTGGGGAGGACACCCAGTCACTTGGCTTCTTCTCACCTTTAGGGACATACCTGAGCGGTACAGGGTCCGAGTCTTCTTCCGAACCTGGCAGGGCACCTCCGGGGGCTCCTTCCTCCGGCCCGTGTCTGGGCTGTCCTGGGCCAGTGTGCTGAGGAGGTTGGCCAGGTGGCAGGGGCCCCGGCCCAACCCACAGGGCACCGGGTGGCGGGGGGTCAGGCCCGAGGGGGCACCGCAGGGAGATGGCGCTGCCGCCAGATCCCCTACCTTCAGCTTCTTCTGCTGGCCGGGGGCAGGGGACGAGGGCCTCTTGCCGGGCTTGGCCTCTCTTGCCTGGAGGGAGCGCCCTTTTCCCCGAGACTGGGATCCTGTGGAGTCTAGAGTCCTGTCTCTGCTGGGAGGGGGGCACTGCCCAGTTCCTGAGCTGGGGGGCTGGGACCCTTGCCCCGCATCAGCCCCCGGGGGTCCTCCAGATGCCTTGGTGGGTGGCAGACCCTCGCCTGGAGCATCCTGTGCCTGGGGTGCCGGACCCTGCAGCCCCTCCACCTCTGGGCCAGCAGCCAGGGGCCTGGTTCCAGCGTCCCGGCCTGTGGGAACAAGCGCCCACTTACCTTAGCCAGGGGAAAGGGACTCATCCCCCTGTTTGGCTCAGCTTAAGCTTTCATTTTCCCACCTACCAAACGGGTCCTAAGTCCAGGCACTTTCCTAGCTGGGCTGTTGTGAGGATCATATTAGATAAAGCAAGTACTTTGACAAATGGAAACAGATATACATGACCACGAGATATTTCACACATACAGAGCTCAAGAGAACAAAACAGCGCCGTCAGGTCGATGCTGACCCATGGCAACCCCATGAGTGTCAGAGTACAACTGTGCTCCACAGGGTTTTCTGTGGCCGATGTTTCAGAAGACTGGCAGGCCTTCCTTCCGAGGCACCTCTGGGTGGACTTGAACCCCCAACATCTCAGCGGCCAAGCATGTTAACCTTTGCACCAGCCAGGGACTCCAGAGTATAGAAGAGTCGTTGTCATTTGGGGTACTCACCCTTGTGAGCGCCCTGTTTTTTCCCAGACACCAAGGGTGGGAGTGTGAGGGGTCAGCATCTATGCAGGTGCTTCTTGGGGACAGATGGTGGAGGGGATGGATGGGGAGGAGAGATTCTGCTCATTCTAAAATGCCCCCCCCACCCCGCTACGGACACAGGGGCAGGGCAGGACGGGGGTCTCGGGGAGCCTATGCCAGCCATCCTCACCTGTCACAGGACTCTGTCCCTGCCCCCCTCCACACCACTGCCTCCCTCTATCCACAACGCCTATCCACACAGCAGAGCCTCGCTCAGGGGCCTGGCCAGGCAGGTAAGGGGAAGGTGATGCAGCCAGAAGCGTACCCCATCACTCCCTCCCAGCCTTTCTTTCTGTCCTTGGGCTAGGACTGACTCTCAGGTCTTTCTCACTACCTTCCTGGCCAGGTGCTGACGGCTCTCTCAGAGCCAAGCACCATGTGCAGTAATCCCGGGGGGGGGGCACGGCTGACACCCATCTGGCGGAGGAAGAACTAGGGGCAGACAGGGGAGTAACCCGCCAGGACCACACAGCAGTGGACTTCGGCCAGGGCTCTCTGCAGCCACCCTGAGCTCTCATCCCTACACAGGGCCTCCCCTTACTCCCACCCTACAGCCCTGGGCTAGGGGGCCTGTGTTATCATTTAAGCTAAGTCAGAATATTCGAAAATGGATCCTAACTAGTGCCTAAGACTCTGTTGTTGAAGGAAAACGCCATGAGGTACGTCTTAAGGAATGACTTTCTATCAGTGTGGATTTCAGACCCCCGGCTGAAGGTAAACAAAGGGGAGAAGTCAGGCGCGCACTACTGTGCTCCTCAAACCCTCTCCTGGCTGGCAGGCCTCCCTCGGGGTGGGGACAAAGGAGTTGCACAGCATTGCACGGGGGACTCAGCAGGCGCTCAATGAACGCATCCTGTAGGGAGTGGTTTGCCCTGGTAAGAAGCTGGACTAAAGGGGTCCAGGACTCCAGGCCCGCCCGGTGTACCCCAGGGATGGAAATCTTATCCCCAAATCGGAGGTGCCTGACAGCCAGCCTTCCCCAATCTGTTCCTACCCCGCCGCAGCTCCCGCCCCTCCAGCCCCTGTGCGCCCCCTGAAACTCCGCGTGCCCCCCAACCCCGGCGCCCCAGCTCCGGTCTGGCACTCACCCCGCGGCTCTTTGCACACCCGCCCCGCGGGCTCCATGGCCTGGACTGCTGCGCCTGGCGGGCGCACAGGCGCGGCCTAATGAGCGCGCGGGGCAGGTGGGCAGGCAGCTGGGGGCAGGTGTGCGCAGCCG